AAAAAAACTATCTTTAAGATTTTTAATATATTTATTAAACCAAGATGACATAGTTCAGATGTCATTTTAGTCGGTCTGTGATGAACCTTTTCTAGAAATGTCTGATCTTTCTGGAGGTATATAAGGTTTCCATACCTGTATACACCTATCCAAGACGATTGGATTTACGACTTTCAATTCCTAAATCTCGCCACATCTATCCCACCATGATCCACGTCACACTACTATGATCCACGTCATACCTGTCCTACCATGATCCATGTCACACCTGTCCTACCATGATCCACGTCACACCTGTCCTACCATGATCCACGTCACACCTGTCCTACCATGATCCATGTCACACCTGTCCTACCATGATCCACGTCACACCTGTCCTACCATGATCCACGTCACACCTGTCCTACCATGATCCACGTCAAACCTGTCCTACAATGATCCACGTCACACCTGTCCTACAATGATCCACGTCACACCTGCCCTACCATGATCCACGTCACACCTGTCCTACCATGATCCACGTCACACCTGTCCTACCATGATCCACGTCAAACCTGTCCTACAATGATCCACGTCACACCTGTCCTACCATGATCCACGTCAACCTGTCCTACAATGATCCACGTCACACCTGTCCTACAATGATCCACGTCACACCTGTCCTACAATGATCCACGTCACACCTGCCCTACCATGATCCACGTCACACCTGTCCCAACATGATCCACGTCACACCTGTCCTACCATGATCCACGTCAAACCTGTCCTACAATGATCCACGTCACACCCGTCCTACTATGATCCACGCCTCACACCTTGGGTCCTACCATGATCCACGTCAAACCTGTCCTACAATGATCCACGTCACACCTGCCCTACCATGATCCACGTCACACCTGTCCTACCATGATCCACGTCACACCTGTCCTACCATGATCCACGTCACACCTGTCCTACCGCATCCACGTCACACCTGTCCTGGCTAAATGATCCACGCGTCACACCTGCCCTGCTCATGATCCACGCTCACACCTGTCCTTCCTACCATGATCCACGTCACACCTGTCCTACCATGATCCACGTCAAACCTGTCCCAAGGAATGATCCACGTCACACCTGTCCTACCATGATCCACGTCACACCTGTCCTACCATGATCCATGTCACACCTGTCCCACCATGATCCACGCTCACACCTGTCCTACTACGATCCACGTCACACCTGTCCTACCATGATCCACGTCACAATCTGTCCTACAAATGATCCATCACACACTCCGGGTTCCACCATGATCCACGTCACACCTGGGTCCTACCATGATCCACGTCACACCTGTCCTACCATGATCCACGTCAAACCTGTCCTACAATGATCCACGTCACACCTGCCCTACCATGATCCACGTCACACCTGTCCTACCATGATCCATGTCACACCTGTCCTACCATGATCCACGTCACACCTGTCCTACCATGATCCACGTCACACCTGTCCTACCATAATCCACGTCACACCTGTCCTACCATAATCCACGTCACACCTGTCCTACCATAATCCACATGTCTCAAACTAATTCTCGTCACACTTGTAGCTGAGTGGCCCGAAAAAACACGAAATTACTTCTCTGTGCAATGTTTGTAAAATGCTGTGACTAGTAGTACTACCGACGCCATAAAAAAAGGCTTAGTTCCAGAATTTGGTTGAGACTTATACTTGGATTAATTATTCCTTCAATTTTGAATTGTATTTAATATGTCGCCTCTTACGTCGTGGCGGAGGAACACTTTGTCCGTAGGTGGGAAGGTAGCCATGTTTTTCTGTTTTACTCTGGGGACTTGTAGGAATGGGCTGTGCACAAGGCAGTATTGTTTTTGTTTATTTTAATGTTTCACAACACAGTGCAATTCTAAGCAAAGACAAATATATATTTTTGTTGTGATAAAATAATAAGTGAAAACATATGAACTGACTTGAATCGGGGAAGATATTTGAGAATATTTTTTCTCCCTTTTATAATTATGTAACCCTTCCCTATCACAATACCTGAGTTAATGCTAGACACACTATTAATATACTTCAGTTAATTTTAGGGTTCAAGTGTGTGCTGCTCAATACACAACACGTGCGTCATAAAGATTCAAGAAGTGAATGGTCGCGTGTTAAGGGCTGTTACCGGTCAAGGCTGATGTATAACTGTACAAGGAACGTCAAATAAAGTGGAAAAAGAGCATCGGGGTGTCTTTATTGCCTCTGTGAAACACGAAAAAAAAAACAGCGTTACAACTCAGGCCCGAGAATAATCCTTGTAAACACCTGTCCCAGAATGATCCTGAGTGGTCCACGTCACATCTGTCCCTGAGTGATCCAAGTCACATCTGTCCCTGAGTGATCCACATCACATCTGTCCCTGAGTGATTCACGCCACATCTGCCTCTGAGTGGTCCAAGTCACATCTGTCCTTGAGTGACCCACGTCACATCTGTCCCTTAGTGACCCACGTCATATCTGTCCCTTAGTGACCCACATCACATCTGTCCCTGAGTGATTCACGCCACATCTGCCTCTGAGTGGTCCAAGTCACATCTGTCCTTGAGTGACCCACGTCACATCTGTCCCTGAGTGATCCAAGTCACATCTGTCCCTGAGTGATCCACATCACATCTGTCCCTGAGTGATTCACGCCACATCTGCCTCTGAGTGGTCCAAGTCACATCTGTCCTTGAGTGACCCACGTCACATCTGTCCCTGAGTGATTCACGCCACATCTGTCCCTGAGTGATCCACATCACATCTGTCCCTGAGTGATTCACGCCACATCTGTCCCTGAGTGATCCACGTCACATGTCCCTTAGTGACCCACGTCATATCTGTCCCTGAGTGATCCACATCACATCTGTCCCTGGAGTGATTCACGCCACATCTCCCTCTGAGTGGTCCAAGTCACACCTGTCCGAGTGATTCACGCCATACATCTGTCCCTGAGTGGTCCAAGTCACATCTGTCCCTTAGCACCCACGTCACATCTGTCCTCCCTTGGAGTGATCCACATCACATCTGTCCCTGAGTGATTCACGCCACATCTGCCCTTGAGTGGTCCAAGTCACATCTGCCCTTGAGTGACCCACGTCACATCTGTCCCTTAGTGACCCACGTCACATCTGTCCCTGAGTGGTCCACGTCACATCTGTCCCTGAGTGATTCACGCCACATCTGTCCCTTAGTGACCCACGTCATATCTGTCCCTGAGTGGTCCACGTCACATCTGTCCCTGAGTGATTCACGCCACATCTGCCTCTGAGTGGTCCAAGTCACATCTGTCCTTGAGTGATCCACATCACATCTGTCGCTGAGTGATTCACGCCACATCTGCCTCTGAGTGGTCCAAGTCACATCTGTCCTTGAGTGACCCACGTCACATCTGTCCCTGAGTGATCCACATCACATGTCCCTTAGTGACCCACGTCATATCTGTCCCTGAGTGATCCACATCACATCTGTCCCTGAGTGATTCACGCCACATCTGACCCTTAGTGATCCACGTCGCATCTGTCCCTTAGTGATCCACGTCACATCGGTCATTGACTGATCCACGTCGCATCTGTCCCTTAGTGATCCACGTCACAACTGTCCTTAGTGATCCGTCACAACTGTCCCTTAGTGATCCACGTCACATCTGTCCCTGAGTGACCCACGTCACATCTGACCCTTAGTGATCCACGTCACATCTGTCCCTGAGTGACCCACGTCACATCGGTCATTGAGTGGTACACGTCGCATCTGTCCCTTAGTGATCCACGTCACATCTGTCCCTTAGTGATCCACGTCACAACTGTCCCTTTGTGATCCACGTCACAACTGTCCCTTAGTGATCCAAGTCACGTCTGTCCCTTAGTGATCCACGTCACATCTGTCCCTGAGTAGTCACACCTGTCCCTGAGTGGTGCACGTCACATCTGTCCCTGAGTGGTGCACATTACACCTGTCCCTGAGTGGTCACACCTGTCCCTGAGTGGTGCACGTCACATCTGTCCCTGAGTGGTGCACGTGGTGCACGTCACACCTGTCCCTGAGTGGTCACACCTGTCCCTGAGTGGTGCACGTCACACCTGTCCCTGGGTGGTGCACGTCACACCTGCCCCTGAGTGGTGCACGTCGCACCTGTCCCTGAGTGGTGCACGTCACATCTGTCCCTGAGTGGTGCACGTCACATCTGTCCCAGAGTGGTGCACGTCACATCTGTCCCTGGGTGGTGCACGTCACACCTGCCCCCGCGCCAGTTGAGAAGGGCGTGGCAGCGGTCAGTAAGGACGGTGATGATGGTTCTAAACTAATTATCTCTATCGTAAAAGCGTATTCTTTTTATTTGTTAAAATATCTTTCGAATATTTTTGCACTGCGTAAACTTAATGTAATGTAATTATGTCGTCATCTTCGCGGGGAAAGTGGAACACTGCCTTAAGGAAAACCAAAAATTGCTACTAAAACCTGCGAAACATTGTTGGTGATGATTATTGTGGATGATCCGAAATATTACTGAAGTATTTATCCTTTCCAATAAAACTGTCACAATGGACTGCGTATCCTTTTACTTTTCATGAAGTCTCTAGAAACAAGACTAAGTTGCAGTGATATGCAAAGATTTTGTTCAGGTTCCAGCAAAGAAGATGATATCCTGGCTACTCAGGGACGTTTAGCTCAAGGAAGCAGCTGAGAAAGTCACACATCGTCAAATCCTTTAATAATGTGGCAAATGAGGTATGGCCATCTTTTGCTTTACAATATGACCAAAACTTATCTCATAACCTCCCAGTCTCCAAACTATTCAGCAACACTCGCATCACACAAACACACACACACACACATCACACAACACAAAGGTGACTAAGTCATTGTTAAAATCTATAGATAGTATACTCTGTAATGCACTGTGAATAATTTTCATTCTTCCAGCCGCTGTCAAAACACACATCTTCCCCAGCCCCACCATAATCCTATGGAGTTGGCGTATTAAAACAATGTGGCAACAGTGTTTATGCCCCGCCTTCTTCCCGCTGTTGCAGGTGTGATCTTCCACTCTCGCTCACTACCTCGACCACATCGACAACTCACACATTCATAACCTGGCAGGTATGTTTATTTCTCTAATGCTTTTTTACTGACATGTTCCCAGAAGATCGAGTTCTTAATTTTACCAACAAAATATATAGTGTTCACCAGTGTTCGCTGGTGGGTATGTTTTTGTTTTGTGTTTGTGAACCTCAGCTTACGTAGTTGCTATTCCGTAAAATATTAAGAAAAACAAACTCAAATGAGCCACTTGCGTTAAAACAGCAGTGTAGTGGACGATCATGGAACAGTTACAGTATGTGTATAACACTGAACATGCGTGAGAGGACGTACTGGCAGATGCAATATATAAGAGTTACAGACCTGGTGATCCAAGTGTTGGTAAATCCTCAGCAGTACGAGTAGGGGTTTAAAGAGCCAGGGTCAGGAGATAGAATACATGATACCTGGGCCATGTGTTGTTGCCTACTAGTGGTCTCCAATTTCTTGGTAAATGCAATGCTCAAATAGCTAGTAAAGTTTATAGCTAAGAGTTTACAATATTAGTTGAACGAGTGGAGAATAAATGAATTTGTTAGTCTCCAGAGTTGAAAGAATAGTAAGATATTATACTGGTGGGATATATTGAGAAGGATAAAACAGTAAGCGATGCAACTCATTAATATGAGGCATGCAGTTATTTTGGCAGGTTGCCAATGATGCTGGCGGTATTGTGAGAATTAACATGATTTACTTGTTGTGTTGTGTGGTGTTGTCAAACAGATGAAATGTGTACATGAGCAAGTATGCCATGCTGTAAATGATGTAGCCTACTCAGTTATGTTTTACTTTTTATATATGCGTTGTATGACTTGTATAGAAGACTGTTTGTATTTGTGTCAAACATCGAACAGAAGAGATGTATTGTTTAGTTTAGGGCTTACAAACTTACCTTTAACGGAGACAACTAATATATGTGTAGAAACTTAATTTAAAGTCATTGGCCATGTCATTTTTTTTTACTAAGAAGCATTTTCATAAACTACTACTGCTAATTATATATATATATATATATATATATATATATATATATATATATATATATATATATATATATATATATATATATATATAGTTCGTATTTCCGTTTATTTAAAATATAAATAAATGATAATAACGGTTACCAGTAAGTAGTGAGCACACAACACAACACAACACACTAACTTATTCATAAACAATTAATAATGAAAGTCTTGGGCCTTGAGTGATATAAAGTATATGTGAACGAGAATTCCAGCTCTGGAAATTAGTTACCATCAGTGTTACCATTAGCCTCACCAGGAGCTCGGTGACGTGACGTAACAGTGTATGTTACATAACCTGGGAAGACTGAGGCGTCGTGATGGTAGTAGTATAGTACACGGTGGATAAATAATTCACCATTAAAACAAACAAATAAAACTATACCCTATTTGAAGTGATTTCGTTTACGAGCGAAGACATATTATTGGTTACAAGATGATTGTTGACGGAGAAGGTAAACTGTCGCTGACCGTGAGGTGAAAAACACGTTCGGTCAACGTCATCTTTATCAAATATGAGGAGAGGGTTGACCGTGAAAGCATAAGAAACAAACCCCCGCCACTAGTAGTCACAACAACAAGCAGGGTAAACACTATAGGGACTATATCCACCAGGCTCATATGGAGGAGGAATCATTCACTGCATAATTTCTTAGTATAATAAAATTAGGATCGTATTTACAAAGACAAGTAAAAGAACAATTTAAATACAAACAGCCACAGCTTAAATTAACCTATACCCTAACCTCAGCCTTACTTTAAACGTGAACAGCACAACAGAATAAACTACTTACCTCCACATAAATATATCCTGAGTCCAGACCAACTACACCACACTTGGACCACACTCTCACCAGCCAGACTCGTCTGCTGAAATTCCCTCTCTATCTCCAGTTCCATTATCCTAACAGCATTATTCTTAAAATCATCCTCTAACTCACACAATGATGAAGCGAATTCGTCAAGTACCTCTGTGTTTACAAGATGAAGTAAAACAGCATTTTTCACTCCAGACTTTCTCCTGTGATGTTTAATTTGGGCTCCATACTCACGAGCCAATGTAATCCACCTCACAAACCAACTATTCCACAAGCAACCACCCCCCGTCATAAGCGAGTGGTAAAGAGTTGTTTGGGATCGTCAAATTAATTACGTCTCCCTAATTATCAGTTCACTGGCGGAATGTGGAGTCCGTCGTAGTTTATTGAGGGTTCAGGTAAACGGTAATTGGACACCTTGGCATTTTTTTTTTGTAGGAAAAATTTGATTACTTTTTTAATTATTTGATGTTTCATTCTTAAAGGTCCCAGAGTAGGAGAAAATCACGAGACAAACAGACAGACAGACAATGCTCCTCTATCAGAGTTGAAATAAGCTTAAGTCTAAAACATAAACATTAGTCTTTATATTGTGTGAATTTTGTAGCCGCCTGTAGCTGTTGGTAAAGCTCTTTCTTGGTCTGTGAATACCGGTTCTCCTTTTCTATATACGCAGTAGGTGCGTGCTAGGTTATGTGGTAATAGGTGTGTATCAGATTATGTGGTAACCGGTGTGTGCCAGGTTATGTGGTAGCGTTGAATTTAAATTTTGGTGCGGACAGCAGCTAGTTTATTGTGCACCCCATACCCACCCTGTAAGCAATATCTCAAAAAGGATTACAAAGTATAGGCCACAAAGGGTGTTTATCGGACCCCAGTGATCATTATATTATGGCAATGAATGTTACAGAGTATTTCCAATATATTATTTGCTTAAGTCGGCACATAGAATTTTGAATAGGTACTAGATGCGAAGTGTGGATACAGCCTTAGTATATCAGCTACCTTGTCTTCAGAGATAAAGTGCCGTGCTATTGCATACACAGTGTACTTGGATTTATCCCTATAACGTTCTATGTTTTTTTCATTCTAAGACGTAGTGTTGGAGTGTGTGGCCATATGTCTGGCCACACACTTTACATTTAATTTTGTTCACATCTGCCTGAGGGGCATACTGCCCGCGGTACTTCCTGTATATCCTAACCTTGGTCAAGCGGTTACAACATCTTGTAATCTGGTGATCTTGTTACTTGCTCCATATACGTACATGTTTTACTTGATACATCTCATCATGGTAAACAATGGATTAACTCGTGCTTGTTTGTACTTGTCTACTGACTTCAAATTCACCAGAAAACTCTTTTCTAGTTACAGTTTTTAAGGTTCTGTTTGACAGTCCTAGATTGTACTCAACATTGGCATTGTTCGACGCGAGTTTAGCTAAGGCATCAACTCTATCATGTTCACTAATGCCAATGTGAGAGGGGCTCCACAACAGGTTGATCCTGATACCCCCGTCAACAAGACACAAATGCTTGTGTCTGGCTTGAAACAAGCGGGTGACAATCTGAGTTTAGGGTATCAAGCGCAAGTAGTGAGGATAAGGAGTCAGTGATGATGAGACTGTGAGTAGCAGTATCTTTAACAAGTTTGGTAGCAGGTGTGTGCAAGGGGTGTATAGCAGCAGGTGTGTAGCAGGGTGTGTGTGGTAGCCGGTGTGTACCAGGGTGTATGGCAGCAGTTGTGCGGCAGGGTGTAAGGCAACAGGTGTGGGGAGTTCCACGCGGTGTGGTACTGGCAAAGGTGTATGCCAAGGTGAAGGTTTCATCAGTGAACCAGACTCTTGACATATGACAACAAAGGTTACCAGAAGGCCGCTAACTGTATGCTAACTTATTATACACCTTCAGGAAGAAGGTGTGCTGTATATAATATGTTGCCGTTTGTTCACATATTGGTGTTCCAATAGTAGTACAGTATGAGTTTCCCTGCAGTGATGATTATCATGCTATACGGGTCTTTTGTTTACTAAGAGGGTTACTAGGTCGAAAGTAATATTTATTATAACTGAAAATTTCTGAGCTGAAACATATGTTGTTATACATTGATGGACGCGACACGTCATTTCTTCCTTTCTCACATGTGAGCAAATTCCATGCTGAAAGTTTCACAGTCATAGTTTAATGACATTGTCAAGCAAACATTTATTGAATTTTGCAGGGAAAAACAGTCTGCATCACTCTGGGTGTACTTTGTGCCATTCTGGACACTCGCTTCCTGTTTTTAACATATACTGTTAACAATGGTGAACCACCTACTGTACTACTCAAGCATTACTAAGTGAGATGAATGAGGTAAACCGAAGACGCCCCGTGAAAGAGAACATGACCTTTTGCGTGTCTTGTATTGTGCTAAATAATAATAATAATAATAATAATAATAATAATAATAATAATAATAATAATAATAATAATAATAACAATAATAATAATAATAATAATGATAATAATAATAATAATAATAATAATAATAATAATAATAGTAATAATAATAATTGTCACTTATTAGAAACTTCTAGTCAACAATTTAAAATTAATTCAGAACTTCCAAGGAAAACTTAGTGAAATATCCATATGAGATGTTAACTTGAAATTCCTCTCGTGAACAAAATAGACACGAGAATAAGAGCACTGTGGTGGTCCCGTATAATGGTGCTCATAAAACACCTAAGTAAGAGTTTCGGACCTGGTATCACTAATAAATCAGGAGTAATGATAACGGTTCACTGGCAAGAGTACGTAAGTCACCTAATGCGCATACGAGTATCACCAAAGTATCAAAGTAAAGTAGCACATGAGGCTGAAAAAGTCACTTGGACGATAGAGGTAAAATACGCAAAGGTCACTTAGCTGTAAGATAGCAGATACGAGGTAGAGACAGGTGCTATAGAGGAAGTCCGAAGATTCCACACAGAGGCTGTTGAAGAAGGGAAGAGAAGAGCAAACAACAAATCTGAGGGAGTGAGTGCTCGAGAAGCAGGCGGACAGGGCCCTATACGGGCCCACATTGTGGGAAAATCACGGGCTTGTGACATCACACTTCACATACACGACCAATGAGGGTCTCATTGTACACGACGTTAATTGGCTGATAGGTGACGCCTTCTCTTGTTTGTCACCATAAATGGTGTAGGTCTGTATTCGCCATGAGGTATCCTTCATTACAAGACCTTGACACTTCGTGCGGACACTAAATCATTATTTGCTGTAGTACTTTCTTTTTCCTTTCAAAGTCTCTTTGGCTATTTTCCGGAAAGATGAGATTTGTTACGAATTCTTAGTTGTTGTTTTTTCTAGTGATATGATTATCATTGTGTTAATATGGTCACCATGCCACGGTAATCCTTGGGGGGACGTTCGGGGTATTTGAAGAACCGAGTGGTCCTTTTTTATCACTGTGTTAATTACTTTAGATTTTGACTGGCTTTTTTTCAACACCATTTCCTCTGTTTTATTCCCAAGTACGACATCTTAGTACTTTTTCTTATTTAAACTCGCCAGGAAATTTTTTATCAGCTGTTAATAATATTGTGCTTTGGATTATGGTGACCCTGTTTGACTTTTACAGGAGGGCAAGATGGCCTCTCAGGACTGTCAAGTGTGCCTAGAGCCTTACGACGATAAGGAGCGTCGTCCTCGGTGTTTGAGCTGCGGACACACCTTGTGTACCTCGTGTGTGGCAGACACCATCACCTGTGGTCCCCTCTACTGTCCCTTTTGTCGTATCATTCACTCCTCCCCCGTCTCCAGCGCAGACGATGTTCCAGTTAATTATACTGTAGTCAGCTTACTGCAAGACAACGCCTACTCTATAGGTAGCCAGCGGTCCCACACCCTACTGACCGAGCTTAAGAAGGAAGCTAACGAGTTCACCACAGCTGAGTTAGTTACCTGCAACTGTCACCTCACTCGACTTGTTGAATTTAAACGGCGCCTGTCAGAGCAGAGGAGTGTGCACCAGGTACACATACAGGCACTGAGGTCGTTGATAGAGCGGAACGAGAGTCTCCTAGAGGAAATGACCCGCACAGCCGACCAGGTCTCTAATACCATAGCTCAGGGCATGGAGAAGCGCGCCGCACTGGAGGCGGCTCAAGCCAGAGTTAATGCTTCCTCCACACTCCTCGAGGTCACCGCCGCCCACCACTACGACAGAGCTCGGGACAACGACATCCAGGAGTGGGGCGCCGCGGCCCACCAGCTGCTACAGTCACAAGTCATTGTCTCAGCCAGGGAGGTGAGTCACAAGTTATTGTCTCAGCCAGGTAGGTGAGTCATAAGTCATTGTCTCAGCCATTCATTAGTTTTTATATAGTTAGGAAGTCTTTTTTTTTAATATTAATCATTGAGACGACCAGCATGACTATTTACACCATCTTTCTGGAGTGTGTACCATTCTCCAGAAATTTCACGAATTGTGTGTACTGTACTGTATATGTCTTATGGATACATTGTCACGATAATAAACAGCATTCTTTTCAAACGTTTTATTGAACAAAGATAACATTACTTTTGCCCATTTTTGAGATACGTTAAGAGATCCTCACCTTGAAGAGATGCTAAACCGTTGAATTAAAAGTGTCATTGCTGACATATTTTCAGTGTTGACAGATGATCGAACAGTAAAAATAAAAATGTCACGGGCAATCATTCAAGAACTTGATATTTTACCAATCTTTTCACACTATTGACTGCACTCAATGTGTGTACTGGTCAGCGTCTATAAAATGTCAAATACAATTTGTTCTAATAATTCGTTGTATATAATTTCTTGAAAACCCTGTAGGAGTGTAGGTTCTCCATTTTCATTCTAGGATTACCTTTCCGAATTAGAACCACTTCCACAACCACTGTGATATTTTCGCCAGTTTCACTTATAATATTTTCTACACCATAACGCGTCTATTGCATGTTTATCTGAAAATATTGATATAATGTTTTTAGCACCATAATGTTTCTCAGTAGGTAATAATTGTTTCATTGAATGTGAGGCCTTCTTGGCTGTATGAAGACATTTGGAGTGTGTTGTACCGTTTCTTTTTAAATTTGAATATGTAAATTACTAACTATTAAAGATGATTATAAATATATTTTGCCACAGAAACATGTAACCTATTACAATAATGAAGACATTGGTTAAGGAAAGATACCTTACTTTCTTCTGGACAAACATCCATATACAGTACAGTGCTCGTGTTTAAAAGCGCAACAGTACATGAGCTCAAGGTTTCCCTTATTGGGGGACTCCAATATCATTACCGTACCTCGTTGGCAAGTGAGAATTTTGTCAACAGGTGCAAGAGAAGGTGCTGTACTCAGGTAGCAAATGAAGATGTACCCTGGCGAGTGAAATGTTTCAGAAAAATAGATAAAAGTACTCTGATATGCAGTGATCCTGAGGAACTCGGTAAAAATTCTTATCACAGTACTGTAATAAGTTTGAGGAGTTGATTGATTATATTGAGAGAAGGGAGACGTCCACCAACATCAACGACTCAGAGGAGTTAGTGACACACTACACCATCACTTGTCTATCTTTGTGATGATAACTACTACATCCTTCCCAGGTGGAGCACATAACCAGCGCCGCCCTGCAGGCTGTGGTGGGTCGCAGCATGTCAGCCGCTGCTGCCGCCCTCACGCCCACCAAGACCCAGGTTAGTTATCTCTCACACCCACCAAGACCCAGGTCAGTTATCTCTCACACCCACCAAGACCCAGGTCAGTTATCTCTCACACCCACCAAGACCCAGGTCAGTTATCTCTCACACCCACCAAGACCCAGGTCAGTTATAGTTGAATTTTGCCTAAGGAATGAAAGGGCAGAGGTCACAAAGTGTTTTTAGCATTACCCCAGTGGTCAGGTTGTTGTGGTATTGGATAATACTGAGTATTTACAAAATACTTAATTAGTGGTAGACTTACCTATTAGGTGCAGAGTGTGGATACAATCTGATATACTGTATCAGCTAAATTACCATTGGCAATAAAGCTGTGTGTCATTGTACACACATTACGCTTGGACCTGTCCCTAAATGGTTCTATATTCTGAGCCAAGGATGTAGTATTCGAGTGTGAGGCTGTAAGTCTGTACTGTTCACACCTGCATGAAGAACATACTGCTAGACTCAGAGGTACTACTTATATCGTTAAGGTAAACAAACATGAAGCTATAAAGTCTCGGCTATCGCTTGAAAATTATATTTCTTTACTTTTATGAACTGAAATATGTTTTTAATACGTTACAGAAAGAGTTGTTAAAAATTGGAGAATTGATAATAAGGAAAAACTGAGACTGCTGGATTGAAATTTTACACAATTTGGCTTTCAGTCGATATGGGTTTTCTTTACTCAGCAGACGCACCAGAATGTGTGGCAGTCACTATATAACACATCGGAGGGGTGCTTAAGATAAACTGAAGATCATCCCTGCAGGGTGTGAGGGGCGTGATGAACCTTCCTTAATACCACTCTGCTTAAAAACACCCTGCTTATTATATTTATCGTGCAGTGTTTTATGCCTCAGCATGGCTTGAGGTGATGCAACTATAAAACAACATAGAAATACAAACTCGGCCAGTATTCTAAGATCGCTACTACGAAGAACTAAGTTATCCCCAAGACGCCACAAACACGTACGTACATATATAAAAATAAAAATGTATGTAAGAAACAACTCCCTGACCTGGTGTTTACCTCCTTTCTGCCTCTCATTGTCTTGTGCTCATCTGAATGGCTACACATTTTCTACCTTGTGTTTTACATATGACAAATTATTACATTAATACCTGTCTTCTCTTATACCTCATAACCTCATTTATCCTGATAAAATTAGAGCAAACTGTATACTCTGTGTGCGCATCTGTCTGTTATTGTGAAGTGACCTACTGTGTAGTGGTAAGCTTACTCGCTTCGCATACGAGTGGCCCCGGATTCGATCTCCAGGCAGGATGAACCTATGGACAAGATTCTGAATGTTTATTGCCTTTGTCTACCAAGCAGTAACATGAAACCTGATGTTAATCGATAGGTGGATCGTGTTCCTGGGTAATGGTTAATCGGTGCAGTTGGCGAGTTGTCCGGTCTTCTTGGGCTATTCTTTGGCACTGGGTCATACAGGTCGTTAATTACGGTGTATTTGTTGTGTTGGCGACAGCTTTTACACCTTAAACAAATTCACATCTAGGTGGTCCTCGGGCCGACCATCCTGGAATGCGAGGGACAACCATTACTCTTGATCTGATAGTGACCTAGTAGTATCCTTAGGCTCACACCCATATACAACTAGTGATCTTAATTCTCTCTTAGTGTGTAAGGCGGCTATCATCCAAGACGGAATTATTCTGGAATTATTCACGAAATGATTCTTGAATGCTTTGAAATTAATCCCTAATGGGTCAGATATAAATAAGGTTCGTGACATTTAATATATTATAACTAAGAATGTATTATTAAGTTAAACGTTATGCAACAGATGGTGGACGACCTGCCGGACACAGGTCAGTTGGTGGTGCAAGTGTTGAACAAGGCGCGACTGGTGGGCAGCGGAGTGTGGACGGTCATGGAAGTAGACGGCAGGCCCCGATGTGCTAAAATGGTCCATTTCGACGACCGAGTGTATCTGTCCGCTCTCAGGGAAGGAAAGCCTCCCATCTACTCTCACACTATACCGGTAAATTTATTTGTTTAGATTAAATAATGAAAGAAAAGGGAATATCAAGTATTAACCACCATTTCATAGTCTTATATAATAAACAGTTAAATGCTTAAATATTTCCCAATACTAAGATGGACTCTGGTTTTGTATACAATCTATGGTATCTTATCAAGAATTGTGTTGATGGCATCACCTTATGTTTAAGATAATGTTATAACATGTTTATGATTCTTATTCTCCTAAAACTTGTGATAAAATTGATCCTTAATGTCTCTAACTCCTGTTGTGGAGCTGTCTTCCAGTATGTTGACGTGAGAGGTCTGGTGGACGAGACCTGTGTGAGAATCTTCTTGGAGCTGTCATGGGGAGGCGAGATACAAGGACGAGTGTGCATCAAGTTGCTCAACACAGCGCCAAGGACCCGACAGTTCTTCTTCTTGTGTTCTGGGGAACGTGGCCCGTCTTACGCCAACACTAACTTTCTCGAGGTAGAGAGTCGCGGCCAGCCCGGCGAGCGTGTGTGGGGCGGCGACTACGAGAAGAACGATGGGAGCGGAGGTTCTGCTCTTCCTGGACTTTTAATGGGCGACCTCAACGTCCAGACTGTGACGGCTGGGCTAGTAGCTGGTTTCTGTTACGGCGACGAACACCGTAAACCGTCACACTTCGTCATATACAACAATGACTGTCCCATAGCCTACGAAGAGTGTCCTATAGGGAAAGTTGAAAATGGGATGGATTTAGTTCGCGCAGCTGCTAAACTTGTCAATATGCGGGAAGCCACCATTAGTGACTGTGGTATAGTATTGTGTCTCTGAGATGCCTTTACATGGATTTTCACTATGTGCAAATCTTTTGGATGATCACTCCAAGCGAATTTTTGTGAATTTGTCTTGATGTATAAATGTAGATATGAACTCGTTTCAGGAGACAGACTGGCATATATTCAACATTGTGCTATGTATATTTCTCTCCAATAACACTTAACGTGCGGTGTGACTATGTGTGTGACAATGACAAGAGACATCTTATAGTGTATGTCAGTGTTTCGTGTTCATTTCCAAATTGGCATTCCTGTTCATCAACAAGTCATTAGGGAACACAGATAATGTTTCTCACTGCGTGTATCAAGTAATGTTTGTTTTACACGTACAACACTACTGCTTCAAAAAACATACCAAAATCCAGTATCATCAAGCGTTATATTTATGACAGCTTTAGTGAGTGCTGGAACTTACAAGTACCAATATCATATGAGGTACGTAATAACAATGATTATATTTTAACCTTGGCCACTATCACTCATTATGAAAGAGTATGTTTTAAGCTACTTTTTGTGAGCTACACACCCGAGTATGGGAGTGTCATAAACTAGGGTTTGAGGAGTGTCACAGCCTCTAGGCCCTAGAGTCTAGGGAGAAGTTATTGATACGACTTGTATCCGACACAGCGAGCCACAAGTGATATAAGTGTAACTTACATTTACCGATTGTAACGTGACTGCTTTATCAGAGAAATGTTACACCAAGTATCTAAGAGTGCAAGTGCCACAAATGCTTTGTGAGTGTACCTTAACTATTGTATAATAGTACTACAACTACTGAGAGAGAAGTATTATAACTGCTGAGAGAGAGTGTACGACAACTATACTGTGAGAGACACACCCTATAACTGCACTAGCACCAGTTTAATGAAAGAATTCACGCTTCGCACTTCCTTCACTATTTTTTACGTTGATAAAGTATTCAAAGTCTAAAACCATCAGTGTTTATTGTTGTTGTTTTTATTCTTCTACTGTTGTGTATAGGGTATTGTGATGTACCGAAGTGTGGTGTGACATACTAGACTAGAGTATGGTGTGGTGTACCAGTGTGGCGCGAACTAGGTAAACATCGGTTTGGAAATGGAGTAGTGGATGAATGGAACAAGTTAACAAACATTATCATTAACTCAAGCACATTAGGTAGCTTCAAACATAGGTTGGATGGATATATTATGAGCGATAGGGGTTGGGTGTAAATGGGACTGCCCAGTATGGGCCAATAGGCCCACTGCAGGTTCCTCCATTCTTAAGTTTTTATATTGAGTGTGGTGTATCAGTGTGATGTGGTGTGCCAGTGTGATGTATCAGAGTATGATATAATATACCAGACTAGCGTATGGTGTGGTGTTCCAGAGAAATGTAAGGATGTAGGGTGAGGCAGTGAGTTGAGGCGTGTCACACGCACACAGCTGAAATAATTATATCAATATATGCTTCATATCTGTTTCTGTATATTGTTGAGAGCATTATAAACGGTGTGCCTGTAATGTCTTGTCATTTATTTTGTAATGAAACTATTGTCCAGATGTTACTTTTTATGATGTATGTTTGTTTACCGAATATGTCAAAGATTTTTATGAAATATATCACATATATCAACCTTTCATTTGTCTATATCTTAGCAAACATGGGAGGGTGTACACGTGGAGATTAAGGTGTGGGCATACTGCCCTCTTGTGAAGTAGGGGCGGGCCCAGTAATACTGTATAATATACCATCAAGCTTTACTCACACCTATACTGTATTGTATACTGTATCCGTTTTCTCAATTAGGTACTGTATGTAATTTGTTTACTGCTGTTACTAGTTCTAGTAAATTGCGAAAATTAAAACAGACAATGCAATGTCCGACCCCGAGACCTGCAGCACCAGTACTCAGGCAAACAGGTGTGGCAAGGAGACTCAACCAGCTTACGGTATGAGATAAATAAGGATATACACGTACTGTATAGACTCACCCACAAAGCGAGAGAGTAAAGTCTGGAGACCCCTGACCTCACTTCTGGTACTTTGGCAACATTATTCCCAACTGTCAGTCCCAGACCCTGACACAGCTTGTACTGGATACATACATACTACTGCTTGTGTCTGCTAAGCAAGTTCACATCGCACACCTCACTGGATCAACACACAACATTAGACGCTCACAGAATAAGTCTTTTCTCCAGCTGTACACTTTGGCCACGGTAAAACCACAGTAGCCGAGGAGTAGAGGCGCGTGGCGGATGTGAAGATGGTGGTGAGGGGAGTGTGGCGAAGGGTGGATATGATGATAGTGAAGGTGGTGGTGAGGGGAGTGTGGCGAAGGGTGGATATGATGATAGTGAAGGTGGTGGTGAGGGGAGTGTGGCGAAGGGTGGATATGATGATAGTGAAGGTGGTGGTGAGGGGAGTGTGGCGAAGGGTGGATTGATGATGATGGTGAAGGTGGTGGTGGGGGTGGCAGAAGGGTGGATATGATGATAGTGAAGGTGGTGGTGGGGAGTGTGGCGAAGGGGTGGATAGATGGGAGGGTGGTGTGGCGAAGGTGGTGGATGTGAGGGTGGATATGATGAGTGAAGGTGGTGGTGAGGTGGTATGGCTGGGTGGATATGATGATAGTGAAGGTGGTGGTGAGGGGACTGTGAGGGTGGTGAGTGAAGGTGGTGGTGGGGGTGTGGCGATAGGGTGATATGAGTGATAGTGAAGTGTGGTGAGTGGGGTGTGGCGAAGGGTGGATATGATGATCGTGAAGGTGGTGGTGAGGAGTGTGGGCGAAGGGTGGATATGATGATAGTGAAGGTGGTGGTGGGGAGTGTGGCGAAGGGGTGGATATGATGATAGTGAAGGTGGTGAAGGTGTGGTGGATGTGATAGGTGAAGGTGGTGGTGGGGGAGGTGCGAAGGGTGGATATGATGATAGTGAAGTGGAAGGTGGTGAAGGTGGTGAGGGGAGGTGGCGAAGGGTGGATATGATGATAGTGAAGGTGGTGGTGAGGAGTGGCGAAGGGTATATGATGATAGTGAAGGTGGTGGTGAGGATGAAGGGTGGATATGATGATAGTGGTGGTGAGGGAGTGTGGCGAAGGGTGGATATGATGATCGTGAAGATGGTGGTGAGGGAGTGTGGCGAAGGGGTGGATATGATGATAGTGAAGGTGGTGGTGAGGAGAGTGTGGCGAAGGGTGGATATGATGATCGTGAAGATGGTGGTGAGGAGTGTGGCGAAGGGTGATGATGATGATAGTGAAGGTGGTGGTGAGGAGAGTGTGGGAAGGGTGGATATGATGATAGTGTGAAGGTGGTGGTGAGGGGAGGGGCGAAGGGTGGATATGATGATCGTGAAGGTGGTGGTGAGGGGAGTGTGGCGAAGGGTGGATATGATGATAGTGAAGGTGGTGGTGAGGGGAGTGTGGCGAAGGGTGGATATGATGATCGTGAAGATGGTGGTGAGGGGAGTGTGGCGAAGGGTGGATATGATGATAGTAATGGTGCGGGTCAGTGGGTAATTATAGGGGAGATTATGTTATTTAGATTATCAGCTTTTAAATAAAATATTAAAGATATCATAGAGTAAGACATAGATACGAATTTTACAACATAGTTTACTACTGTTTTGTTAGATGTAATGGTCTATATCTTTGTTAGTTGTTACTCTCTTGTGGCCAGGCGCCCCCCCTCCCTCCCTCCCTCCCTTCTCCTTCCTTCGCTGTAATGATCACTCACTCCCTCTTCCTCTTCACTATCTCCCTTTTTAGTCCCTTACTCAGTCTATCAACTCGTAAAAAATATCTTATTATTCCAAAGTGATAAGTAATGGTGGTGGTGGTAGTTTTTGTGGGTGATGGTGGTAAAGGGGGTTGATAGTGGTAGTGGTGGAGATGGTACATGGTGGTAGTGGTGGTGGTGGATGGGGTAAGTGGTGGTAGTGATGGTGGTGGTGACAGGGGGTGTGGTAGGTGATGATTGTGTTGGTTTTGATGGGTGGTGGTAGTAATGGTGGATGTGGTAGGTGGTGGTAGTGGGTGGGTGGGTGGTAGTGGGCGGTGGATGGGATAGATGACAGGGGTATTGGTGGTGATGGTGGATGGGGGAGGTGAGTGGGGTATGTGGTGGAGGTGGGAAGGTGTTAGTAGTGGTGGTGGTGGTGGGTGGTTGTAGTAGCCTCCTGAACAAGCAGTATAATGTTAGCACAATGATAGTGAGGCAGGGCTCCGGCACACACTCATCTGCTGTACACCGTCAAACGCCCGCCTGGATCACCCCATAATTCTTTCTCTTATCTCTCACACAAACTTACTGAAGAGTCTCCTTTGTGGCGTTGGACACGTGCCGTAGGCGAGCTTCCTGGCGCGCGCGCGCACACACACACACACACACTAGCGGTGATTGCAGTATTGTACATCTACAGTGACAGAGTCGCTAGTACGATCTTTACCCTGCCAAGGTGAAGGTGTGCACCTTTACGATGGTGTTTAATTACCAGATATAATGTGACCCAGAATGGTAAAACTCTTCACAAAGTTAAGTGAGCGGCTGACAAGCCTGACAGGCTTTATGTAAATAGTCTTGAAGTTGTATGGCGAGGTAATGAGTTATTCTATATTGAGGGGCATCGTGCACAGCTGCAGGTGCTTCACATAATAACAAGTCACTACTTCAGGCGCGAGCTGAGAGAGACATCAGCCCCAAGTCATTAGCAGAACTTAATTCCTCAACACAGATGGTGGCCATCTACTTAAAATCGATGATGAGGTCGAGACCATTAAGTCCAAGACTTTGACCTTTAGTTGTAGATAGCGACTACCGAGACCATTCGCCGCTTTAGCATTCATGGATCACCTGAAGATTATCTCCTCCAGGTAGTGTCGGGGCGTTAAATTTCAAATAGGCTAATCTTCAGGTGATCCACACACACACACACACACACACACACACACACATATATATATATATATATATATATATATATATATATATATATATATATATATATATATATATATATATATATATATATATATATATATATATATATATATATATATATATGGTTGATTACGATATTTATCATGTCAATTAAAAATAAATATTATAGTCTATGCTGCTAAGAATGATTTACCTTATACAGTATTTTCTCTTTTCGTGTTTTAGTACAGCATGTTTCCTGTCTTAGACCTGACTCCACCACCACCCACCCAACACACTCCACCACCACCCACCCAACACACTCCACCACCACCCACCCAACACACTCCACCACCACCATCCACCACACCCACAACACTCCACCACCACCCACCCAACGCACTCCACCACCCCACTACAACACACTCCACCACCATCCACCCAACACACTCCACCACCACCCACCCACACCACCCACCACCACCCATAACACTCACTACCATCCACCCAACACACTCCACCACCACCCACCCAACACACTCCACTACCATCCACCCAACACACTCCACTACCACCCACCCAACACACTCCACCACCATCCACCCAACACACTCCACTACCACCCACCCAACACACTCACTACCATCCACCCAACACACTCCACCACTATCCACCCACACTCCACCACCACCCACCCAACACACTCCACCACCACCCACCCAACACACTCCACTACCATCCACCCAACACACTCCACTACCACCCACCCAACAGACTCCACCATCATCCACCCAACACACTCCACTACCATCCACCCAACACACTCCACCACCACCCACCCAACACACTCCACTACCATCCACCCAACACACTCCACCACCATCCACCCAACACACCCACCACCACCCACCCAACACACTCCACCACCACCCACCCAACACACTCCACCACCATCCACCCAACACACTCCACTACCACCCACCCAACACACCCACACCATCCACCCAACACACCCACCACCACCCACCCAACACACTCCACCACCACCCACCCAACACACTCCACCACCACCCACCAACACACTCCACCACACCACCCAACACACCACCACCCACCCACCCAACACACCCACTACCATCCACCCAACACACTCCACTACCACCCACCCCACACACTCCACCACCATCCACCCAACACACCCACTACACCCACCCAACACACTCCACTACCATCCACCCAACACACTCCACCACCACCCACCCAACACACTCCACTACCATCCGTCCAACACTCCACCACCATCCACCCAACACACTCCACTACCACCCACCCAACACACTCCACTACCATCCACCCAACACACTCCACCACCACCCACCCAACACACTCCACCACCACCCACCCAACACACTCCACTACCACCCACCCAACACACTCCACCACCATCCACCCAACACACTCCACCCCCACCCACCCAACACACTCCACTACCACCCACCCAACACACTCCACCACCATCCACCCAACACACTCCACCACCATCCACCAACACACTCCACTACCACCCACCCAACACACTCCACCACCATCCACCCAACACACTCCACTACCACCCACCCAACACACTCCACCACCACCAACACACTCCACCACCATCCACCCAACACACTCCACCACCATCCACCCAACACACTCCACTACCACCCACCCAACACACT